CACATACACACACACACACAGACACACACACACACACTCACACACACTCACACACACACACACACACAGAAGCTGACTGACTGTCTGTGGCTTCAGAGGAGCTCCGTATGTGTCACAATACGACACAGAGAACATGTTTTCTGCCATAGACACACATAACATTAGGGCTGCACCATTTGAGGAAAGAAATCTACCTTTTCTGTTAAAAATTGCAATTTAAAAAAGCTCCAGGTTTGCTGTTCTTGTTTTGTAGGGCTGCACAATTTGGACAAAAATTGTGATTATATATCAATATGACTATATAATAACAATAATGTATTATCATTTCATTGTGATTTGTATTATTATGAAATAAAAATATTAAACAATATAAGATATATTACTATTGTAAAATAAAAATAGAGTATTTAAGAAAAATAATATAATATTTTATTTTGTAGAGTTGAACAATTTAGACAAAAATTGTGATTATATATCAGTATGACTATAATAATGATAATGATATTAAACAAAATAAGAAATATTACAATTTGTAATATTTCACTGTAAAAAAAGAGTATTTAAAGAAAAAGGAGGGTTGGCCAAAAATGATACGATTATATAATAATAATAATAATAATAATAATCAAATAAATATTACTATTGTAATATTTTGATGTAAACTTTAAAAATAAATTAAGAAAATAATAATATAAAAATGTTTAACAAAATAAGAACTATTACTATTGTAATATTTCATTGTAAAATAAAATAGGGTTACACTTTATTTTAAGGTGTCCTTGTTACAGTGTAACTATACATTTAAGTGCTGAGTAATATTAATTAACTACATGTACTTACTATATGGTTAGGGTTAGGATTATGGTTTGGCTTAGGGTTACTTGCATGTAATTATGCATAATTAATTGTTATTATTATAGGAAGTACATGTAACACGTGTAACAAGGACACCGTAAAAAAAAGTGTTACCTAAAATAGTATAAGTAGTAGTAGTAGCAGCAGTAATAATAATAATAATAATAATAATTATTATTTTAACTTTAAAATTACAATACTAACATTTATGGACTGACATTTATACTAACGTTGATATTACGGCCTTAATTTCTTCATTTTCAAATGTTAAACCAACACAGTGCCGCATTTCACTCTAAAACACGCACCACATATATTTATTTAATCAATTCGCAGCCTTGGCGATATGATAATCACACTATGCCATTTCATGATTTTGGTTTTATTTCAATTAATCGTGCAGTCCTTCACAAAATACAGAAACGAGCTCCTTGGATTTAACATGAAATCTACAGAAGATTAATTCGTAAAAGTTCTCCTACAAACTCATTAATATAAACTCTGACTTTGGTCAAAGCCTCTCTGATGTGACACCAGATCTATTTCTGCATCTGACAGAACATCTACTGATCCGGTTCAGATCCGCCAGACTGATTTCACCGTCCACAGTTTCAGGAAGAGATGTAGATTACATAACGACACATAAAACAGCTTGATTGTCATCATCTGTCATCACTGCAGCTCCTGTGAGAGACTGAGACTCTGAGCACACGCCACATGCAAATTCTCTTTCCAAATAAACATGAATAATATATGTCCCAAAAGAGATGTCAGCAGCTTAATTATAATTTCTAAACATTTATTTTGCCTTCTGCCTCTCTCTTTCTCCCTCCATCCGAGAGATTTCAGCCAAATCCTGGACTAATCGCGGCCATTTGCACTCGTAATAAAGAGGAAAAATACTGCAGACCACGACGTGTTTTACCAGAACGCTGCTAATTTTAGCAAACTATTTACGAGGCCAAGATATTTAAATGTAACACAAAAAAGCTTGTACTTAAACTGAGGACTGACATCAAACTTCTTTAAATCTTTAAAAAAAAAAAAATTATTCTAAATAACCTGCATGCACTGATGAATCACTCATAATAAGTCCAGAAACATGTACTGAGAAAATAAATAAGGTCAAATATGGTTTTATTCCCATGATAGAATAAGTTCAACAATAGACACACAAATTTAACGCTGAAAAAAACAAAACAAAACAAACACACAGACACACACACACACACACACACACACACACACT